GTGGCCTTCTTGTGGGAATCCAAATTGATGGCCACTGGCAGCTGCCTCACTGGCCATTTGCATGTGCAAATGAGGGTGAGTGAGGAGCGGTGGCGGAGACCAACACACACATTGCGTTTTGTGGGAGTGTGAGAGTGGATAAAGACGTGAAAATCTGTCCTCATTAAAGTACAATCCACATGACTATTTTCTCCTCTGGGCTAGCTAAAACCTAGCTCGCCTTCAAGGCCCTCCACGACCCTATCCCTTCCTGCCTCTGTGACCTGATAACCCCATATCAACCTTTCCACTCCCTCCGCTCAGTGGGCTCCGGCCTGCTCCACGTCCCCTGCCCAGCATGCCCTACCATCGGTCAGACCTTCAGCTTCTCTGCTCCCATCCTTTGGAACTTCATCCCACAGTCATTTCGCTTTGCCCCCTCCCTTGCCTCCTTCCAAGGCACGTCTCAAGACGCTCCTCTTCGACTAAGTCTTCGGTCAACCTCCCTCCTTGCCCTCCACCCCTCCTGATCCCAACCACCAGCTTGGGTCCAAATCCCTGACTGTCCAGGGCCTTGGGACGTCCTCCCAATGTGAAAGCCACTGTGTAAATGTAATTTTGTATTGTGTTATATATCTCCTGCTGGACGTGAAGCCAATTTAGTTGGATTGGTATCCGAGCAATCTGGGCACTGGCTCAATTCACGTTAACCCATTAATTGCCTTCCATAGCACAGCATATTGCTGCCAGACTTGTAGTCTGAAGTATCTTTTTCTTTGGAGTTGGGCACTGCCCTCACCCCTTTAAATATTCTAGGGAGGGGTGGTAGGGTGGGGTTGATCAAGATAGCGATCGAGTCTCACATGTGATAGGGTAATGGGGAAGCTCTGGGGTGGGGGTACATTGGGTGGAGCTTGTCACGATGTACAATCTTGCCACTTGTTTTGTTAACTAAGTACCCGTGGCTCATTGTTCAGCAGCTTGGATTGGGGACTGGTTGAGAGTGACGGAAGTGTGTGAGTGTGTAAACCAGTTAATCAGCAGTCTATATTGTACGGAGGTATTGACAGTTTAGCTGACTCCCTGATTGCTTTGTACTTGAAAGAAAAACAATGGCAGAACGGGATGTTGCTTTCAGGATTGCAAGTGCATTTATTTATTAAACAAAAAGGGCTGTATTGTCTCAAATATATAAGGTAACCTCAGTTGCCAGGGAACCCCTCTATCCTTCCATTTCTCCCCGCCCTCCATGTTTTGTAGTTATATTTCGGGTTAAGGGGTAATTATAGAGCTGACAAAAGAGCACATTTTGTATTTTTAGAGTAGCATTATGGCACATTTAAATTACCCTAATAAAAAGGTAATGACATTTTAAAATCCAGACAATTAATTTAAAGAATGTTCTCCATGATTGCAGTGTGCCAGCCCATTGCACTTTCTCGCTTGCGTCTTTCTAACTGTATATCTCTGCAAAGCTTTCTGTATCTTTCCTTCCTTCGTACACGTTACTCAGCCTGTGAGTGATCAGCCTCACACTCTGGCAAATTGTACTTCTGGTTATCTCACACATATGTACCTTTGTAAATTTGTAGTGTTTGCACAGGTGCGAAACTGGCTCTATTTAACTGGTATCCTGTACTCTGCTATGATATCGGTAACTGTTTAGACTGACAATATAACGAGTAACAGTTTTTAACTAACTAATTTAGGGGAGAAAATCTTGCTTTATATTTGGAATAATACGGTGATCGGGTACAAAGCAACAAGTATGTAACTGTGGATGCTTAAAGTTGCTTCTTAACCACAGTGTGCTTAGACATCAGTACTTTGTGTACACAATGACAATTATGCAGACTGAATTACTCTATTTGCTGCAGCACAGTTTGTTACCAATGAGATGCTAATGGGATCAATAATAAGTGTTTGAGGCTCTGTTATTGAAAAGGAACTGGCAGTGGATTGAAATTGGTGACGAGTTAGCTTTCCTGGGAGGATTGAGTGACCACGAAAGACTATGGCCGCCCAGAGAATATTTCATTTTACTTCTTTCCTCCTGAGGTCACTAATTCTTCATCACAGTCTCATTGATATCTCAGCCGAATGGCCTTTCATTTCGGGAACCAAATCGGTGAATTCTGTCCAGCAGTCGTCGAGACCAATCTTGTGCGCACTCTTGTGCTATTTTGATTTTGGTTCATTTTGTCCTGATGCAGGGCAGATTGTCTTATTAACCTGTTCTCTTCTCAGGAAATTCCTTCCTTCCAGGACTCCCTGTTCAGACTGTATTGTAATAAATGTTTTCTGCCTGTCCAATACGTCCATTTTATGTTATTATTAATACGTTATTATTATACACTCTTGTTACTCAGCAACATTTCATTGGATGCTTCCAGGGTTTTGCCTGCTGTTATGATTACTGTTGCTTCATTTCCAATGATTTAATTACTTTGACATTTAACAGGTTTGCCCTTTGAGCTGTTTGAATATCCTGGTGGGGTAATTGTCTGATTGGTGCTGAGCCATTGTTAAAACAAGACAAGAAAAAATGGGGTGGGCAAATCACATAGGACAAGTCCAGAAATATTGCCTGGAGAAACTGCTGCAACAAATATTAAAAATAATAATTTGGTCCCTCAATCCGCGACTGTTTGAGACACTGCTGTGCACAATTATTTGGCTGCTTTGTTTCGCCCACAAATTATGCAGTCAATTCACTTTATAGTCTGTTGTGTGAATCGCTTTGAGACGTCCCAAAGACATGATAACATGATAAGGCACTATATCAAATGCAAGGATTATTATTATATCAAATGCAAGGATTATTATTACCTTGGACAGAAATTACTGTGAAGAGCTTTGAGTTTCAACATGATAAAGTGCAAGTTATTATCCTGTGTGGATTTAGGAGCAAATCAAAATGACCGACTAGCTTGCTTTAATAAAATGTTGCATGGAGTTTGTGAACTGACACAATTGTCTGCACCCACAGATTCCCACATCTCGTTTAATTAAACAGCTGCAGTTTCTCAAGGCTTGAAAAATACGGGTTTCAAATTAAAGCCTTGTTACTCTATTACCATCTCCCACTGGGCTACAAATGGTGATACATAAGCTTCGAATATTTGTCCCAATATTTAGAGTCTATATCAATTCTTCTGTGTTCTTTGCTAGTTGATCTCCTACAGCCCTCAAAAGGTCACTGCTGTTAACCAGAGTTGGATCTCTGGACTCCCATTAGATTGGCTGGATCCTCTGGTTACAGCAGTGGCCTTGACTGGTGTCAATCAGTGGAGCAGGGTGTTGCTGACTGTTATCCACAGAGACTGCGGTGCTATCAGTGTTAACTGAGGGCTTTGATGCAGCTCACACACACTTATCTGTAGTGAGAGAGTAATCACGTGTGAAAATATGCTTTATAACTTCAAGCTGTGGTCTTAGGAGGTCATGATCGTTCCCCTAACCTAATTTATCCAATATTGTCGTCTACGCAATGTGTGAGATGTCTCCGGGTTTAACCTAAATTGTTTACCCATATAGGCAATGCTCTCGGCCTCGTCTGTAACTCCTGTTGTCGCTCACCTTTCTAGCTGGGGCTGGTGCTCCTGCCTCAGACGTCCCTGCTGTTCCTGACGCAGCCCAAGTGCCTGTGTCCCCTGTATCTCCTGAGAAGCCTGTTCACACTGCAGGTAGACTGACCACGGGTGAAATCTTATACTAACAGCAACATGGGACTGGCAGTTCTGCTAACAACTGTTTGAATTTGTGCACTCTTCTTCTGTGCTCTCACCTATTAGAGACTCGGCACTTGGCAATGGCGGTACAGCGGGTTTAACGTGATGTCTTAACTAGAGATATCTGGAGTATGTGGTGTAGATTACTAGGATGAAACTCTTCTATTTCTGACTGCTTATAAAGTTCAAAGTGAAATAGGTTTGGGCGACCACTTTCTGAATGCGAGACGCTGCACAAATGCCCACAATTTGATGGTAGATCTAGTGAGCTCCTTCTCACGGCCTGCTGTGTAGAGGTGGTGAAGGTGATATGAGGTAGGTTAATTGTGACCTTTGTGATGGCTCACTGGACTAAAATTGTTTCCCTTCCTATTCTTTACCCAAGGCAATTTTGAAAGGTTTTGGGCCCAACCCTATTGCAGCTCCATCATTTTTATGTTGAATTGTTATATGCAGTCGTGGTTCTTTCTGTAAGGCACTGTTTCCCTTAGTGTCTCCATCCACTTCCTGAACACAAGGTTACAGAGGGTTTATGGTTGCATTGGTCCTCCTGATGGATGAGCCTCGATGGAGAAAATTGGCAGATGTGAGGTGGAGGGATAAAGCCTAATTCTGTCCAGTAAAGCTTTTGGTACCTGGAATCCTAGTCTCCAAAACAAAAGTTGCATTCCTTCTTTCTCCCTCCACCCACACCAACAAAACAACAGCACCCCTCCCATAAAAATCTGGGAAGTGCTGAGTTCATTTGGACGTCAGGTGACCGAGGTAGAGTGGTCTATCACTGAGCAATGACCATGTGATGCATTTACCCACGTAACCATCTCGGCGCTGGTTTTAATTCACAGTAAAATCTGTGTTGTGTGTCGTGTAATGAGTGCGTATGAAGGTGAGTGAGTGACTTGTGTGAGAGTTTACAATATTTCCGATTGACTGCATCTCAGCAGCCCAAACTTCCTCCTTTTGCATGTGACTGACACCTAGCTTGTTGCATATAATCTCACCCCCTGATCCCATTAAGTGAATATCTTGAGGTCTCTTCCAAATGACTAATTCCTGTGCACTTCACAAGATTGATGTGTTGTTATGATCAGATGAGATGGTTTCTGTGTAATATACTCTTGAGTGTGTGGAGTACTTTCTTCATTCCAACTATTGTCTCTCTGTGTTCTGTAATTTTCTAACTTTTCGCTCCCTTTAGTATCAGCTTCTATTGATGCTTTCTTGGTTATCTTCTACAGCTGCTATTGAAACCTGTTCTGAGCATGAATCAGTTTCTTCAGCCAGTGAGTATATACAGGCTGAATCTGAACCCAACAGTGACAATAAGATGGAGCTTTCGGCTGCTACTGAGCTGCATGGCCCTGAAATTCAGCTTGTTTCTCCCCAAACGTGTGTCTGTAATCCTCCATCCCTTCTCTCCCAACCTGAGCCTTCTCTGTCTTCTCCTACTCCCACTGCTCTTGCTACCAATGACACTGTCGATCACCCACCCTTATCTGCTAACCCAATTCCCGCTGCCACCATTCACCAGACCCCACCATCCACTGACGTCACCCCGGACACTACCGACTGCCTGCCTTCATCTGAGCCTATTGCTGCTGCTGACCCCATAGCCAAAACCGACTGTACTGACCAGCCTTTGCCCACTGACCCCGGTATCACTAACGCTGGACCGTCTCCCTCTGACGCTGCACCTCTGCTTGCCGATGCAGTTGCTGCCGATGCCATTAACTCTCTGCCTATTTCTGCCGCAGACGAGCAGCCTTTGGTTGGTGAAGTAGACGCTGCCGTTCATCAGCCACCTTTGCCGACCGAGGCAGTCGCTGCAAACACTGGCCTGACTCCATCAGACGCCATTGCTGCTGCTTCCCCCGCTGTGCCTTTTTCCACTGACCCAGGTGTTTCCTCTGCTGGGGATGAAGATACTTTAGGTGATTCAGTGGCCATTATTGACCAGGCCCCTATACCCACTGCTGCCGTGTGCAGTCAGCCCCTGGGTGGTCTTGTCTCTAGTGGTGAGCCACCTTCATCTTCAGGCCCTGTTAGTATTGATGAGGTGACATCCACTGCCCCACTAATTGCCAGCGCCCTAGATTCGCTCCCCACTGCTTCAACCCTAGCCCCCCAGCCTTTGGCTGCTGTAGATGCTACAGTCACAGAGAAGCTGCCAGCAGCTGACGATATTTGTGATGACACGGTCGATGGGCCGCCTGCAGTTGATACAGCTGCTCCTACAGCTGTTGATGGGCCGACTTCATCTGACACCCAGGATGTTGCCACTGATCAGGTCCCACTGCCCACTGATACAATCCTGGCCAGTGATCAGATCCCACTGCCCACTGATACAATCCTGGCCAGTGATCAGATCCCACTGCCCACTGATACAATCCTGGCCAGTGATCAGGTCCCACTGCCCACTGATACAATCCTGGCCAGTGATCAGGCCCCACTGCCCATTGATACAATCCTAGCCAGTGATCAGGCCCCACTGCCCATTGATACAATCCTGGCCAGTGATCAGGCCCAGTTGCCCACTGACACAGTATTGGCCAATGATCAGACCCCACTGCCCATTGATACAATCCTGGCCAGTGATCAGGCCCAGTTGCCCACTGACACAGTATTGGCCAATGATCAGGCCACACTGCCCACTGATACAGTATTGGCCAGTGATCAGGCCCCAATACCCACTGATACAGTATTGGCCAATGATCAGACCCCACTGCCCATTGATACATTCCTAGCCAGTGATCAGGCCCAGTTGCCCACTGACACATTATTGGCCAATGATCAGGCCCCAATGCCCACTGATACAGTATTGGCCAGTGATCAGGCCCCACTGCCCATTGATACAATATTGGCCATGATCAGGTCACACTGTCCACTGATACAGTATTGGCCAGGGATCAGGTCCCACTGCCCACTGATACAGTATTGGCCAGTGATCAGGCCCAACTGCCCATTGATACAATATTGGCCAGTGATCAGGTCACACTGCCCATTGATACAGTATTGGCCAGTGGTCAGGCCCCACTGCCCATTGATACAATATTGACCAGTGATCAGGTCACACTGCCCACTGATACAGTATTGGCCAGTGATCAGGTCACACTGCCCACTGATACAGTATTGGCCAGTGATCAGGTCGCACTGCCCACTGATACAGTATTGGCCAGTGATCAGGTCGCACTGCCCATTGATACAGTATTGACCAGTGATCAGGTCACACTGCCCACTGATACAGTATTGGCCAGTGATCAGGTCGCACTGCCCACTGATACAGTATTGGCCAGTGATCAGGTCACACTGCCCACTGATACAGTATTGGCCAGTGATCAGGTCACACTGCCCACTGATACAGTATTGGCCAGTGATCAGGTCACACTGCCCACTGATACAGTATTGGCCAGTGATCAGGTCACACTGCCCACTGATACAGTATTGGCCAGTGATCAGGTCACACTGCCCACTGATACAGTATTGGCCAGTGATCAGGCCCCACTGCTCACTGATGTGATTCTGGCTACTGATGAGGTCCCATTGCCCACTGATACATTACTGGCCATTGATCAGACCCCATTGCTCACTGACAGGGTTCGTGGTGCACCTGAGGAGGCCCCTGTGCCCCCTGAGGAGCACCCCTTGCCCACTAGCACCTCAGACAGACAGTCTTTGGCTGGTTTAATGCCTGGAGATGGGCTGCCTACCAGTGACCTGGATGCACCAGCTGATGCAATTTCACTCCCTGACACAGTTGATGCAGTCGCTGTAGATGTGCCACCTTCATCTCCTGGTAAAGTTTCTGCCGAGTCTGAAAGTCTATCTGATGATAAATTAGCCGCCACCTCTGTCCCCCCTCATGGTAGTGTTGGCAGCACCACCGATGGGCCACCTTTGTCCATTGGCCCTCCCGTTGATCCCCCCAGTGATAAAACATCTGAGCCATCTCCGCTTGCCTCCCCTGTTAGTACCATCACTGAGCTGCCACCGTTGGCTGCTTCTCAAGCGATTGAGCTGCCTCTGATGGCTGACACTCCCGACCTGCCTGACGGGCTGCTTGATGGCTCCTCAGTTGATGTCTCCAGTGCATTGCCTTCACTGCTCAGTAGCACAGAGGAATGTTGTGTGCCCCCTGCCATAGATGTCGCTGGGAGCCCGCCTCCAGCACCTGAGGAGGCATTACCTGTAGCTCCACTTGCCGAGCGACTTCAGTCCTCTGGCCAGTCTGTTTCAGAACTAACTGACCCCCTCCCTCATCTCCCTCTGCCGACCCAACTTTCTCCCACTGCTCCCGAGACACCTGAAACTGGCGCTGCCCCTTCTCAGCTTCCCGCTTCTCTGCCTGCTGCCTCCGAGCTGCCTCCTTCTTTGCCTGTTGCTGATCATCTTTCCCCTTCTGAAACCCCTTCACCCGCTGACCTTTCTTTACCTTCAGCACCCACTGCCTCTATCACTGAGCTCCCCCCATCTCTCTCTGTTCCAACCATCCCTCTTCAACCCACCATTCCTTCCCCTCAACCATCTTCAACTTCAACTGCCCTGCTTGATGAGGAGGAGATGCCACCTTTGATTCCTGGTGTGGAAGAGAACCTTCCCTATGAAGTTCCTGTCCCACGCGTTGTGGAGAAGGCAGTTCCCAAGACAGCTGCAACTGAAAAGCAGCCTGTGATGAAGCAGAATGATAAGGGTATTTAGCCTGGTTGAGGTGCATGTTGTAATTTCCTGCCTAGTCGGGCTGTGCACCCGCACTGCACTGGCGGAGTGATTGCTTGTCCTATTGTAGTTTGTATTCAGGAGAGGCTAACTTTTAAGTGAAGCACTCACGAACTCCCAACATACAGAGGAGTGCAATTTCATTGGAAAAAATGTCTTTCTGCATCGTGCCCTCGAGAATGAATTGGGGCAGCTTAAAGTTAGCCTGTCCTACAGCACAGGAGTATTGTGTGGTCTGAAATCTGTACTTTATGTCAAGTGTGAAGCCTGGAATAATTTCCTTCCCTTTGGTAAATGAGGAAACATTTTGTAATTCAATCCCTACCAACCTGATGATGGTTGGAATTTGTGAACTAACCAGTTAGCCCACAAAATATAGTCACCCAACATGACAGTGTGGCCTGAAATGTCTGAAACGTCCTGTGCTGGTGTGAAAAGCACTCGATCAAACGCGAGGGTTATCAGTGGCCTTGCTCGACGAAAGGAAAGCAAATCGCTGTCCACTATTGCTTTGGTCGGGTCATTCAACATAATGTACAAATTTCAACCACATCCACAGGGTGATGTCTGTATAGCTGGTGTGTACTAACGGCAGGGTGGAGTCCATCCTGGTTTTCACCTATATATATTTCACGAGTTGTGGGGACTTTAACATGTGACTGAAGTGTTTTTGAGTAGGTTAGATGTTGACTAACCTGCATTAACCTCCAGCCTCACTGGTGCTAGAGCAGGCCTGCGTGCCTCAGCCTGTGAATACTTATTCTTGATTTGCGGTTTGCTGCCTCAAAAGAAAATGGTGTGCAGTTCATTCTTTGCATTTTGGCGAGGAAAAAAAAACACGTATGTTGCTGTGTTCCTTTTGCGTGTCTATTGTTTTACACACAGGTTGAGCATTGCAGGTGCAACTGCAGAGAGAATCAAAGCGTCCAGTGTAAACTGGCGTGTGTGGTGCCCTGATCGTTCACGCTAACCTTTTGCGGGCTTGTGTTGCATGGTGTGAAAGCTTAACCTGTAGACAGCACTGCCATCATCAGATATTTATTTGTATATTTATTTTGTCCTGCGAGCAGTCCAAGGTAATACTTTTCCAGGTGCCGTTGTGTTACATGTCGTTGGATTTTCAGGTTTGGTGCTTATGGCTTTAACGTACTCGATCTGAACGTATATGTCAGTGTTGTTTTTTTTTGTAAGCCTACTGTAAAAAGGTTTAAGCTTCAGTGCACACCTTTACACGTTCTCCACCTCCGCATGGCTGTCAGACATTAGACACGGTTGTGATAATTGCCAATAATGTGACATGCCCTCCCTCCCTCACTTTGTTTTCAAGACGATCACATTTTCTTTCAAACAAACCGTTAAAATCCCCCTGGAAATTGTGTCGAAAGGGAGATGCTGAACGCGCTGTTGATTTTTTAGGGTCCGGCACCGAATCAGACAGCGACGAATCTGTCCCAGAACTGGAGGAACAAGACACGACTCAGTCAGCAACACAACAGGCACAGGTGTGTGGGCGCCATGGCTCTACAGCCAGCTTCTAACAGCTAAACACCTTCTCTCCTTTATCTAAAATTAGATTCTTTTTTATTATTTGTGATGAATGTAGTCTTTCATTGGCTGTGTCTGCTGACCATTATGTTTTTTATATATAGAATGTTTCCTCTAGTCTTCCCAGTCATACAGTGAAGAATATTATATCGATATAATATCAATAACCCCTCCCAGCTCCAGTCCCTATGATTTTACGATAAAGCAATGAGAAACCGAACCTGTTGAAATTTGAGTGGGATCAGAATAGAGTTTAATAACTTTTCAACTTTTTGGGGAATTTGTTCAGTATTTTGGCAAAGTGCAATTTCTCATCTCTTGCCACAACAGCTTGTGTGTATGTGGCACCCTTTTATGCACATCAGAACAATTACAGTGGGAATGACTTTACTCTCTTTCCCTCGAAGCTCGCTGCAGCAGCTGAAATAGATGAAGAACCAGTCAGCAAAGCAAAACAGAGCAGGAGTGAAAAGAAGGCGCGAAAAGTGAGTAACTGTTAGTTCAATCACTGTCGTGTCAAATCCTTCATTCAACCTGGGTTTCCACCATCGCAGAAAAGCTGGGTTCCATGCCTCTGCTCTGCCTCAACTGTGAGATTATTCTAAATGAAAAGAAAACCCAAGTTGTTTTTACTTTATACTTTATTATATTCTAGCCAGGAAGCTTTCATATCTGGATTAATTTGCTTGTAATAGGAATGTAAATTTATTCTAGTGACTTCTTTCTCGGAGTGAATGTTGGGCTGGCATGGCAGGGAGAGATGTGTTGAGAGAGGGAGAGAACGACATGGGTTGGGAGGGAAGGGAGAGAGAGAGATGGGTTGCAGAGGAGGGAGAGATGGGGAGGGGGAGAGAGAAAAGTGGTTTGAGGGAAGCGAGAAAGAGATAGAAAGATGGGTTTGAGGGGAGGGAGAGATGGGTTAGTGCTTTGGAAATGTTCTGAATGTCTATCTACCAAGAGTTCCATAATGGCAGCATTTCCTTTCCTTCCAGGCAATGTCCAAGTTGGGGCTTCGTCAGGTAACTGGGGTAACCAGAGTCACAATACGAAAATCGAAGAACATCCTGTTCGTCATTACAAAGCCAGATGTCTACAAGAGCCCAGCCTCTGATACCTACATAGTCTTTGGTGAAGCGAAGGTAAATGGTGTAACAATCTGTCTGTACGGTTTGAGAGGCTTCATGTAACTTGCTACAAATCTGCTATTTACAATAGAGAGAAGGAAATTCCCAAGGAAACCGGGGAAATGAGGATAAACGAATATAGTTATGTTTTTCAATGAAGTTGAGTTCCAGAATGGCGGAACAGGCTCGAGGGGCTGAATGGCCTACTCCTGTTCCTGTGTTCTGGGATTCTGGCTTGAGAGTCTGCTCTTGATTGGGAGCTTGAGATTCTTGGAGCCCTCGAGTATATGCTTGTCATTGATGTATATCTCACTGACGTGACTAGAGTCTGAATCATGTGGAGGAAGGGAAAGAGGCCGGATACTGGCGGAGGAGTTGGGGAAAGACTGACTTGACTGGAACAGGGTTTCCATTTCTACTCTTGTCTGACAGCAGAATCATTTATGTTTCTGTGTGCCTAGATCGAAGATCTCTCTCAGCAGGCTCAATTAGCCGCAGCAGAAAAATTCAAAGTACAGGGCGAATCCGTTGCCAATATTCAAGAAAACACACAGACTCCGACTGTACAGGAGGAGAGTGAAGAGGAAGAGGTACGTACCTTTCACACTCATGTTTACTGTCTAATATCCTTCTTTCCCCCAAATTGTCTAAAGGCAGATTTCGTTCTGCTGGAGTGGAGTTTCTCAGTGCTTGTGTGTTGGGCATGAGTATGTAGCTCAGTGGTTAGAGCACTCGCTTTGCAAGCGAGAGACCTGAGTTCAATTCCAGGCAGAGGGCCAAACCTCGGGCAAGTTTCCTTACTCCACACAGAGCCTAATAATAATCCCTCTAAAACAAAACAATAATAAATTGGTCATTTTTCAATCTACGACTGTTTGTGGGACATTGCTGTGCCCAATTGGCTGCTGCGTTTGCCCACAAATATACAGTCAATTCACTTTACAGTATATTCTGTGAAGCGCTTTGGGACGTCCTCCCGACGTGAAAAGCGTTATATCAAATGCACGGATTATTATTTATTACTTGGGTTCCACTTTCATACCAGACTCGATTTAAACGTCCATTTCTGTAATAGAACAAACACCAATGTCATTTACTGTATCCCTGGAGCTGTTACTGTTTCCATTTGGAATGACTTGAGTTGGTGATGAGCATCCTTTGCCGTTGAGTACTGAGTTCTGCATCAGGCCATGGTTGGGGGTGGGGGGAAGCCATGTCAGCGAGTACTGTTCCAGAACGCCATCTCATGAGACTTGTAGAACCATTGAGTCCTTTGATCAGATGGCCTATGTGTCCAGTCCACTAATGGTGTAGTCGAGGGTTGGCTAAAGAAAAAAGGGAGGAGGCAGAAATAAAAACATTACTCTTTTTTTCGCTTCAACCAGGTTGACGAGACTGGAGTGGAGGTCAAAGACATTGAGCTGGTTATGTCCCAGGCCAATGTGTCTAGGCCCAAGGCTGTCCGAGCACTGAAAAATAACAACAATGATATTGTAAATGCTATTATGGTAAGTTTGTTTTGTATTTACTCAACATGATTCTCAACGCAAAATACACCGTCACTCCACTTTACACTATATTTTGTGAAGCGCTTTGGGACGTCTCAACGATAAGGCGCTATATCAAATGCAAGGATTCTTTAGATTGCGAACAAATTGCAAGAGTGGGTGAGTTAAGTTAGCTTGTAATTGTATGATTTGTTAACAAGAGCACTCGCCTCGCAAGTGAGAGACCTGAGTTTGATTCCCGGGCAGGGCGAAACTTTGGGCAAGTTTCCTTACTCCACACGCATCTGTTTACCTAGCAGTATGTAGGAAACCGATTGTTGGTCAATTGGCAGCTCGCTTTTCCAGGGGTAATAATCCCTTCCAAAATATGAATAATAATAATTTGGTCACTCAATCCACGATTGTTTGTGGGACACTGTTCACAATTAGCTGCCTCGTTTTGCCGACAAAATAGTCAGTTCACTTTACAGTATATCCCGCAAAGTGCTTTGAGACATCTGGAAGATGTGATAAGGCGCTGTATCAAATGCAAGGGTTATATTTTGTAACATAGTTCTTGAGGCGGCTGTAAAAGCTAAAGGTGCCACTGACCCTACAGTAGAGACGGGATTCAGGATGTACTGGGTGTTTGTGGTATTTGTGTCCAGATATGATATTGTCTGCTGGTGTGTTGAGTGTAGACACTCTCTGAAATTTGTTTTTAATCTCTACAGGAGTTGACGATGTAAACATCTGGAACGCAGCAGTGGTGAATGGTCCGTTTTGGTGCAGCTTCCGTACATTTGTACCATTTATACTGAAACGTCAAATAAAATGTGGCTTGAAATTCACTGGTCTCTCTTCCAAAGGGTTGGTTGACTATGCATGGAGATCACACGCAAGTGAGGTTAGAATGACGTCCCCTTTCTTTCTTTACTCCTTTCCCCAAATCTTAGCTGTAGCTGTTGTGCCTTCTCTTAAGAAATGAGGTAAGAGGTGTTCTCTTTCCCTTCAACACTTTTGCCATTAAAAATGCAGTTAAGTCCGAATTGATTATCTTCTCTGTTCCACGTTTGAGCTCCTTAATGTCCTTTGACCATATTGAATAAGGTGTTCGAATTCCATCTCATCCTTCAACAACACGCAAAACTATCGGAACCTCAACAACAGCAACTAAAATCCAACAATCAAATCTCATTTTGATGCAAAATACAGTGTTTTAAATTGAATGTGTTCTCTCTCTCACCCCCAAACCCCCACACACTCACACCCTACTGTGGGAATTACTTTGAATTTAGGGTAGTATTTGCATACAAAACACACAGGAGACATCTGCCTTGAGTGAAAGGCGCTTCATCAAATGCAGGAATTATATTTATTAAAGTGTGTCTCCTGAGCTTGTACACAGTAATGCCAGCAAAACGATATTCCTGAACGCTGCTGCTGTTAAAATATTTTTTGTGTTTCTGCTATACGATGGTGATGTGCATCCTAATTAGTCCAAATTGACAGTACAGCTTATTACCAGAGTACTCGCCCTTTGATGCATCCCTCACAGAATTGTCTTGTGCTGTTGCCGATGTGTAACCTGTTCTCTGAAAGATACTGACTTGAGTTAGGGTAGAGTTCCACGGCTGAGTGTCATCCCTGCTATCTCAAAGAACTATTAATATGTGGAAGGTGGCCAATGAGCATCAATAGGGGTATCACAGCCGAGCCTTATCCCTGTCCAACTCCCTCAGTCCACATTGCAGTATGTGAATTTTCAACAATGGTTGCGATATAGTATTTGGGAAGTAAGAACCCTGGCTGTTCTCCCATCCACTTGTGTTGTGGGGAAATGCTATAAATCAATTCACATGTTTAGGGAAGCTGAAACTATATGGTTGCTCCAACTTCTATACAGTAATCTTACCACAGACCTTCCTGCTATAACTCTGAGCTACACCAACGGCCGTTACCATTGGCTCAGCCATGGAGGTGATGAGGTGCAGAGCAGGCTGAAAGATTAACCTGTTCTCATGATAAACACGTAACCACATGGTTGCTATTTTAGTAATTGGTTTGCGATGGATCCAGTGCTCCAGCCCAAACCTATAATGTTACAGTGCGAGAGTTCAATATCCTTCTGGTGAAGGCACCATCCAGTTCCAATCGGGAGTCCCGAAGTGTAGTAAGCAAAAAATTCTGAATTTGATTCCTGGGTGAAACCTTACGTAACTCTCCTTCCTCCACATGCTTCTGTTTACTTATCAGTAAGTAGTAATCTGTTTGTTAGTCGATTAGCGGATTGCTTTGCGGGGATAATACTACCTCAAAACAAAAAAAAGTGGTCACTCAATCCACAACTGTTTGTGGGACACTGCTGTGCATAATTGACCGCTGTGTTTTGCCTGTGAAATACACAGTCACTACACTTTACACAACATCGTGTGAAGCGCTTTGAGACAAAGACATGATAAAGCGCTGTATCAAATGCAAGGATTATTATTATTTATTATATTCACCAAGTGGTTGCAGCATTTGCCTGCAGAGTACACAGTCACTACACATGACACGTGCCTGGGTGGGTTAGGCCAGGCACGTGGCTTTGCTACAGGGGCGCCATTAGCGGCTGATCGCGCGGGAAGGCAGCCTGCGGGGGGGCGGGGCTGGAGCCGGCCGGAACCAGTCGATCGTGGCTGATTGACGGGCGGAGGGAGCCAATGGCAGCCGCGGGACTCGGCGTGCGTGCGTGCGACGTGGTTACCATAGCTCGCGCTGCGTCGTGCGTCAGTCAGTGAGTCAGTCAAACCACCGACTGAGGAAAGGCCGCAACGAGAGCGTCGACACCCCGGCTCCGCAGTCACCGCATCCCGAGACCCGCCGCCGCCGTCCCCCGCACTCCCCCCGACACGGACCGACCGCCAGCAGCAGCCGCCATGTAAGAGGGTGATTCGCGGAGTCGGTAGCGCGTTTGCTGGGCTGGTGCTCCTGAGGCGCGAGGCCGCGGGCGCTTCTCGTGGCCGTTCGTGAGGGGAGAGAGAGAGAGAGCGGCGGCGGCTCTCTCCCTCCCTCCCTCTCTGACATGGGGAATCGTCTCCGTTTCCTCTCCGATGTGAGAGCCCACGCGGTGTCCAGGCTCCTCTCCCCCTCCCCCAGGCCCGCGGCCTCTCCCTCCCATTTCCCTCCATTTTATTTAAACACGTTTGTTCCGTGTCCTCGCCCCCCCCGGGCCGCCACATGCTGCCCCCCCCCCCCTCTCTCTCTCTCTCTCCTGGAGGGGGGGAAGGAAGGAGGAAATGGACGGGCCTCACGCACGCACTCTCTCGCTCTCCCCCCTGTCTGATATCCCGCTAAAGAAGAAAATTGCTGTAGTTTTCTCTCTCTCTACGATTTCATTTTATATGCGATTTAATTATAACATCGTACACTCGATTGTTTGTGTATTTATAAATGTACACACACACCACTCACCCCTCACCATCCCACTAAAAAGAAAACTGCTGACAATCTCTCCACAATCTAATTTAACCATTCGTTATTTAAATGAATAGTCAGTGTTTAAAGCATTCCCTCCCTCTCCCTCCCTCCCTCTAACACCCTCTCTCCCTCCCTCTCTCTAACACCCTCTCTCCCTCCCTCCCTCTAACACCTTCTCTCCCTCCCTCCCTCTAACACCCTCTTCCCTCCCCTCTCTAACACCCTCTCTCCCTCCCTCTAACACCCTCTCTCCCTCCCTCTCTCTAACACCCTCTCTCCTCCCTCCTCTAACACCCTCTCTCCCTAACACCCTCTCTCTCTCTAACACCCTCTCTCCCTCCCTCTCTCTAACACCCTCTCTCCCTCCCTCCCTCTAACACCCTCTCTCCCTCTAACACCCTCTCTCTCTCTAACACCCTCTCTCCCTCCCTCTCTCTAACACCCTCTCTCCCTCCCTCCCTCTAACACCCTCTCTCCCTCTAACACCCTCTCTTCTCTAACACCCTCTCTCCCTCCCTCTCTCTAACACCCTCTCTCCCTCCCTCCCTCTCTCTCTCCCTCTCTCTAACACCCTCTCTCTCTAACACCCTCTCTCTCTCCCTCTCTCTAACACCCTCTCTCCCTCTAACACCCTCTCTCCCTCCCTCTCTCTAACACCCTCTCTCCCTCCCTCTCTCTAACACCCTCTCTCCCTCCCTCTCTCTAACACCCTCTCTCTCCCTCTCTCTAATATCCTCTCTCTCCCTCTCTCTAATATCCTCTCTCCCTCCCTCTCTAACACCCTCTCTCCCTCCCTCGCTCTAACACCCTCTCTCCCTCCCTCTAACACCCTCTCTCCCTCTCTCTAACACCCTCTCTCCCTCTCTCTCTAACACCCTCTCTCTCCTCCCTCCCTAACACCCTCTCTCCCTCCCTCTCTCTAACACCCTCTCTCCCTCCCTCTAACATCCTCTCTCCCTCCCTCTCTCATATCCTCTCTCCCTCCCTCTCTCATATCCTCTCTCCCTCCCTCTAACACCCTCTCTCCCTCCCTCTCTCTAACACCCTCTCTCCCTCCCTCTCTCTAACACCCTCTCTCCCTCCCTCTCTCTAACACCCTCTCTCCCTCCCTCCCTCTAACACCCTCTCTCCCTCCCTCTCTCCCTCCCTCTCTCTAACACCCTCTCTCCCTCCCTCTCTCTAACACCCTCTCTCCCTCCCTCCTCTCACCCTCTCTCCTCCCTCTCTCCCTCCCTCTATCTCACACACTCTCTCCCTCTCTCTCTAACACCCTCTCTCCCTCCCTCTCTCTAACACCCTCTCTCCCTCCCTCTAACACCCTCTCTCTCTCCTCTCTCTAACACCCTCTCTCTCCCTCTCTCTCTCTAACACCCTCTCTCCCTCCCTCTCTCTAACACCCTCTCTCCCTCTCTCTCTCTAACACCCTCTCTCTTTGGCCGCTTCCCCAAACCCCCAAAATTTTATATGTTTTTTTTAAAAATGAAAATCAATGTCGCCCTCTCTCTCTTCCCCCCAAACCCCCAGCCCCCGGGGCGGGCGGGAGAGAGAGAGAGAGAGAGCTCTGCACTATAGGGTTAAGCGACGCACACTGACTGGTTGTTTCTAGAAAATTCTCGGATCTCCCCTCCCCTCCCCCTCCCCCCGCGCCGCTGCCTTGAATTTTAATGGTTGTTTCTCCTGCAGCCCCTCTGCTTCCCCTGGTCATACCCCCCCCCCTCCCTCAGGTACATTTCTCTGCCCGGCTCCACACTGTCGCACACGCCTTTCCCCCCCTCTCTGCTCCTCCCCGCGGGGCGGGCGGGCGGGCGGGCGCGGTGCTGGGGCGGGGTGGGTGGGTGAGGGAGAGGAGCCGCCATGCTGCTGCTGCTGCTGCTGCTGTGCCATTCATTACCTGACCAGCGACACAGCTCAAACCACTCGCTCGCGCTCTTTCTCTCTCTCTCTCTCTCTCACTCACTCACACCTTCTCCCTTATTGCTTGTTTGATAAATGTCTCTATCGGTGTGTGTGTGTTTTTTATATAAAAGAAATCTAATTGAGATATTTGGGTTTCCTGGCAATATTGTTAGCGATTGATTGTTTTGGGGGGTGGGGGGAGAGGGCGTAAATTCGCAGTTTGTGTGCCCTTGGTTTGATTTAGGATGAACTGAGGGCACGGCACCCCTTTTTATATTTGGGTATAATATATAAGGTATAATATATAAGTATACTAAACACCTTTCGTGATTGCGATACTTGTACCTGCCATACTTATTTTAGATTCACTAATCATCCTAACCACCTGCAGTATGGACCATTTTATTTAGTATGCAAAGGATAATGTCACTTCTTCCCCATCCCCAACTTCAGATGTACTCTTTTACAGTCTGGTTGTCTCCTCTTTCCTGCGTGCCCCCCCCCCCCCCCATCAAAAATAATAGGGCCTTGAATACAGGTAGTGAGAAGGGTTTCAGGTCCAATTGCATTGGTTCCTCATTGCAGTCTTTGGACTGTACACAACCTGCCTCCCGGATATAGCTTCTTTCTTTTGGTCAGTCAAGTATTTTAACACATGTAGAAACCCATCAATCACTATGCTTGGGTGCCCAAACCAGAGAGGGTTCTGTATACGTTTGTCATCAGCATCTAGAAGTTTCCCTGTGTCTAGAATGTAATATGACTCTCCATAGAAGGACACACCCTGTTTGCTTAATTCTGGTGAATATTTTGGACACCATGGAGATGGATGCCCTTTGGATGTGGATTGGACACTTAGGTGGAGTATTGGAGGGCAGTTGATGCTCATGGTACTGTGAACCAGCATGTAACAGTGCAATTAGGAGAGGAGTGAAGCCAGTTGGGGAATAAAGTAGTCCTTGGAAGCAAAACTTTATCTGGAATGAATTCACAAAATGCTGCTGTTATTGCTTTATTTAAGCAGGTGATTAATATCTTAGTTAATTTTGTAGATAGGAGTTTAGTAACAAACTTTGATAAATGTTAATACGATGGACAGCTAAAGTACTGTAAAAGGCCTATATGTGGGTGAGTGGATTACATTTCAACAACCATTTTGTAAAGTGTTGTGTTGGACCATCCATCGCGGCTACCGCTCCAGAATGTTTGTATCTCCATCTCATCGCTGGTACTCCTGGAGAGACTGAAGGCAAGAATCGTAGCTCTCAGTTAATATAGAAAAGTCAAGGTTCCAACATGTAAGGAAAATATAGTTTTCAATTGGGGAGCAAAGGAGATGCTTTGAACAGAAAATCCTTCCTGCCGTTTTTGTCCACTATTCCAGTAACCCTCATGATAAAATATTTGGCACAATTATACAGTCAAAATTGCATCTCCAAATTAGTTTTAAATAATAGCGATCCCCATTATGCTGCAGTTAAAACCGAGTGAAGACAGTCTTTGTGCAATTAACATTGAGCCAGAGAATAAAGAGCAGCCACACCTATGGCTTCAGTATTTAGTCGTGGGTTATTCGTTTCAAATTTGATCTTCTATAAGGATAAGAACATAGGGATTATAGTATTGCAGTGCTCAAAGTTACTAATGTCCGCTGTAAGGATGTGTGGGATGGAGTGAGTTGCTTTCTGTTCTCAGCCTTCTTTCTCCACAGTGAGAGAAAACATCTGTCAGAGGTGACTTGGGCTGTCCTTGCACTTAACCTTGTGGCTGCCAGAGAGCATCATGGTTAATCCTCTCTGGTGTACGAAATACCGTCTTCTACTCCTGTACTAGAATTTAAACCAGGCTTTGGGGAATTTGTGGGTTCAGACCCTGTACCCATTGCTCGAGAGCAGGATGTTGGAGCATCAGTGAGACTGCTAAACGGGTTATAATGGCTTGTAATTGGCCCTTTAGACTCCATGAAAGTAATTTAGGAAGATGAGACCTGGCATTGTGATTGCATCACAGGGAGAGAATATTCCCTGCGGAAGATTGTTCCTTTTCAAGGAAAAGAACATTCAAGAAAAATTGCTTTAGAGAAAAGCTGCACATCACAAATCCTCTCTGCTGACCTCAGTCCAGTCTGGTACTCATTCCAGTTTTCTTTCAAATTCCTGGATTTGCTAAATGGACATAAGATGTCTGGTCATGTAGATAGCAAATTATTCTTTAGTTACTGAAGGTAAGTTTTTTTAAAAAATTACTTGGTATCAAGACTTGGTGGGGTGGGGGTTAGACAGAGAAGGAGGGGTGTGTGTGCATGTGCACACACAGAAGGGAGGTATTAGGAGCTGATGCAGACCTTGTCAACTTAATACTTGTTTAAGTGGATCCTGATCGACTTGTAGAGCTAATGTGGAAGATTTGAAGCATCTTGTAAGAAACTTCATTAAGATGTATATTGTATGTTAGCGTGTGTTCACCAGGACACTAAGCAATATACTCATCATCTTATCGGATCAGGTGCTTCTTTGCTGTACGAATTGAAACTAAGTTAAATGTATCCTCCTGGGAAATCAGCATCCACCTTTAACTAGCTTAACCAGGGTGAGGTTAAACCCTGAGGGAAACATGCCTGTCTTCCCCCTCCAGGAGTTGTGGAGCTAGGTTGAAAGAGATTTTCCCAATCCTCCAGCCCCTACATGCTTTTTGTATAAAAATAAAGAACAAGAACAGGAGCTAGAATCATAGAATATTACTGCACAGAAGGAACTCCATTCGGTCCATCGTGCCTGTGTCGGCTGTTTGGAAGACCTTACCCAATCAGTCCCACTCTCCTGCTCTGTACCCATATCCTTGCAAAGTTTTCTTTTCAAGAACCTATCTAATTCCCTTTGGAAATTTGTTATTGAATCTGTTTCCACCAACCTTTCATGTAGTGCATTCCAGACTGTAACAACTGTGTAAAATAAAAATATCATCTCCCCTCTGATTCTTTTGCCAATTATCTTATATCTATATGGCCTGGTTACTGACTCACCAGCTAGTGGAAACAGTTTCTCCCTATCTACTCTATCAAAACCTCTCATAATTTTGAACACCTCTATTAAATCTCCTCTTAACCTTCTCTACGCTTAAGGAGAAAAATCCCAGCCTCTCTCATCTCTTCACATAACTAAAGTCCCTCATCCCTGGTACCATTCTGGTAAATGTACTCTGCACCCTCTCCAAGCCCTTACATGATTGAACATTTGGTCACATTACCATAATACTGTTAGCTTTATTGCTGTTTCTTTCTACGTTTTGACATGAGTTGCAGTCCAGGCAATGTCTTGGGAGAATAGGCTCTTGGCAGTGAGTTATAAGACAACAGTTGTATCTCTTAATTTTGATAACGTGGCTTAAATGGTTTATGAACGTCAGCAGAACTCGGAGATTAAATTGTACAAGTCACTGTGTTGTGCAAATATAAATTTTTTTGCAACTTTGAAAACCTGTATGTTATTCTCCTCTCCCCGTCCCCACCTCAAACACACCTTGTGATTGTTTTTCTCTCTCCTCACATGTATTTAGGCAGCCCGCCTCTGCAAAGTGGTACGACCGAAGAGACTATGTCTTTGTTGAATTTTGTGTAGAAGACAGTAAGGATGTCCAAGTAAATTTTGAAAAAGAGAAGTTTACATTCAGGTATGTAGCTGACATCTGCCAAGAGCTACACACATTTTTTTTTAACCAACATATGTTTTCATTTGTCTAATTCTTTGCTCACTCAGGGTTCTTCATGATTGGGTGGTTGGTGGGATTTGACATCTTATGGAAAGGAATGAGAGCATTCACAACACACTGATGCATTACATTGGGTTACCTTGTCACATCTTGTGCTGCAAGATACTCATGGACCTTCTCCACGCCCCCACCACCACCTAAAAAAATCTCCCAGTAAACGAAGCAAATGTCTTTCTGTGTTGCTTTCGTTATTTTGTTTACACATTGAGGATGTTTAGTTATTTGTTTCCTTTTTTTAAACTGTACAATCTTCCTTAACCTTGAGTTCAGCAGATAATAGGCTCGGAGAGTTCTGCCCTTGGTATGAAATGCAATTTATTTACTCTTGATAAAAACGCCTGTTCTCTGTCGCTCCTGCTCTTCAGTGTTACCTGGCTAAGCTCCTGTTGTGCACGTCGCCTTTTACTCACGATCCTTACACTGGTTTTCAAATCCCTTCATGCCCTGGCACCTCCCTACCTCTCCGACCAACTTACCGCACAACCTGCTGCCTCCGCTCGACTGCATATCCTTTATGCCCTCCGTTCTATATTGGTGGCTGTGCTTTCAGCCACTATTCCCCGAAACTCTGGAACACTCTTCCTCTATCCCTCCGCCTTGCCCCTTCCTTCCCTGTGTGAGAGGTGCTGTGTAAATGCAAGTTGTTGTTGTTACTTTAAACTTAGCAAACTGAGAGCTGCTTCCTTCCACTTATGCTTGTCTTGCCTTGTTGCCCAGCTGCCAACTGACCTAGACAAGGGAGGTTCTGTCTCCTTTTGTCCTGGCCAACAATCCCCAAATAAAATAGGTCAGTCACTCTATGGCTCTTTGTGAGACATTGCTTTGTGCAACTGGCTGCTGCATTTTATCGACAAAATACAGAGTCAAACCACTTGACTATATATCCTATAAAGTGCGTTGAGGCATCTTGATGCTTCAACGTAGAGTCCTGTGGCTCAGTGGTTAGAGCACTCGCTTTGCAAGTGAGAGACCTGAGTTCAATTCCAGGCAGAGGGCGAAACCTTGGGCAAGTTTCCTTACTCCACACAGAGCCTAATAATAATCCCTCCAAACAAACAAAACAATGATAAATTATTATATTATTGATGAGGTGCTATCAAATGCAAGGATTATTATGTTTATTATTATGTAATATGTTTTAAACTTCAATATCCTCTAGCACAGTATTTGAATGACTACTTGTGAGTAAGTCTCAAGACTATACTGCTGAGGCAGGCTTGGTGGGGGGAAATTGGCCAGAGTCCTTGTTATTCAATGGCTACTGGTGGATGTTGTGTAGACATCAGCCAAGGACTGGAATGGGCGCACATACAAAATCCTTTTGTGGTTAACTTGCCTGTTGACACTTCAGGAATACTTTCTGCTTTCAGAAAATGAGGGTTGGAAATCAGGAGTAGGGGAGCAACTTCCCCCAAAAATCCTCTAAGAGATTGAGTCTAAAGAATTAAATTTCATGAAGGATTATAGAACAGATGGTTCAACATATAGTACTGCTTTTCATCGGATATGGCTTAACTGAACAACCAGCCATAGTGTTTTTTGACCATCTGCTTTTCAGGGCTGGGAAGGCAATGCACCAACATTCTACAGGCCAGGAGTTTTCAGTGTTATATTTTGCATGTATAGTACATACAGCAAGGCTTTATGGTGCTTTGCTGGCATCATCAACAACACATGACATTTACACGGCGCCTTTCATGGCGAGAGGATGTCGCAAGGTGCTGGACAGTCAGGGATTTGGACCCGAGCTGGGGGTTGAGATCAGCAGGGGTGGAGGGCAGGGAGGTTGGGTGTAGGAGGGTGACCAAAGGCACAGTCAAAGAGGTGGGTCTTGAAGGAGGTGAGGGAGGGAGCAAGGAGAATGGAATACGGGGGTGGAGTTCCAAAGGATGGGGGCAGAGAGCCTGAAGGCCCGATATGAGGTGGAGGAAGATTTGTCCAATCAGTTTGATCAGTGCTGTTACAGATGCAGCCAAGGCGACAGTTATTTGCTTGGACAAACTTGTGTCCCATGCTCATAGCTGTTAGCTGAGCAGTTTCTCCAGCCTCTGTTGAGAAACCCTCTTGGTTGTTGCTCCAGAATTCTGGTGTGTGGCTCTAGCAGAGAATCTTTTACAAAAAATGTTTTGTGTTGTGGACTGCAAACGTGTTAGTAAATTTGAACATTATCTTGCATAATTCAAACATTATCTCCCAAACATTTATGGTAATAGTACCCATTGTTTTTTCTCAACATAGTTTATCTCTTCGACTTGACCCTTCCATGTTTCACGGAATAAAATTATAAAGATGTGAGTTTTTTTTCCCCTGCAGCTGTCTTGGAGGAGCTGACAACGTGAAGCATTTTAATGAAGTTAATCTTTATAATGCAATTGATCCAATGGTGAGTATGTGATCTCGATTTACACTCAAATTGTGCAAATCACTATCTTGTGTTCCGAATTCTCGATCCTCACCCTCACCTACAAGGCCATTCACGGCCTCGCTCCCTCCTACCTCTCCGACCTACTATCCCCCTACCTACCTGCCCGTACCCTCCGTTCTTCTGGCTCCGGTCTGCTCCACATCCCCCGCCCCAACCGCCCTACTATCGGTGGCCGGGCCTTCAGCCCCGAGGCTCTGGAACTCTATCCCCCAGTGCCTTCGCCTTGCCTCCTCCCTTTCCTCCTTCAAGGCCGGTCTCAAGACCTTTCTCTTTGATCGTGCCTTCAGCTCTCCTCTCGACTCTCTACCCCCTCCTCGCTCCCTCCCTTCCCTCACCCTGACCGTTTCCCCCTTGCTCGGGTCCTGACCCAACTGTACAGCGCCTTGGGACGTCCTCCCGACGTGAAAGGCGCTCAATAAATGGAATCTTGTTGTTGTTGTTCCCTTCTGCTCTTCCCCCTTCCCCCCCGCGCACAAACACACACGCGCGCACACCTTCACTCGTAGAGGGGAAGTCTGTACAATTGTACCTCTTGTCCTCTGCTTGGCAGCAGGGCATTTGCTGAGTATCCCCAGCATGGGTCCGAAACACTGATTGTCCAGTGACTTGGGATTTGAATTTCTTTCTAAATCCATCCCAAAACCCTACTTTAAATGGACCACAAATCTGTTTCCAATCTTGGGCTGAAATTCCCTTTCTTCCTGAAAATCCCATTTTTGTAAACAACAAAAAAAGGAAACAGCCGGGGTCAAAGTCACTAACGACTTTCTGAACATCTGCGACCAGGGCTCTTACTGCCTCCTTGTCCTCCTCGACCTCTCTGCTGCCATTGACACTGTCGACCATTCTATACTCCTACACCGCCTCTCCTCTCACCTCAACCTTTGTGGACCTGCCCTTCTCCTCCAGCCCCTGCACCATAACGTGTGGCGTCCCTCAGCGCTCTGTCCTTGGCCCTTTTTCATTAACTATATGCTCCCCCTTGGTGACATCATCCGCAGACTTTGGGTCAACTTGCACATGTATGCGGATGACACCCAACTCTGCCTCCACCCTTGATTCCAGGACCCACTGCTGTACTCACCGACTGCCTGTCAGACATCAAGTTCTGGATGAGAGCAAACTTTCTGCAGTTGAATGTCAACAAGACCGAGGCTCTCCTGCTTGGGCCTCCATACCTTGGGCGCTGACAGCATCTCCCTCCATTCACTCTATATCTCTAGGAGCCAATACGGAACCTCGGTGTCCTGTTTGACTCTCAACTGTCCTTCATATCCCACGTCCATGCAATGACTCCCTCCGCCTTTCCCCACCCCAGCAACTTTGCCCGGCTCCGCCACTATCTCACACTGCAGGCCGTCGAGACTCTTGTGCACACATTTATAATATCCAGTCTCGACTACTCAAACTCTCTGCTTGTCGGCCTCCCCAATTCCTCCCTCTATAGGCTAGAGATCATCCAGAACTCTGCAGCCCGTATCCTCTCCCACACCAGGCTCCGCGACCCTATCACCCCCATCCTCGCCCAATCCACTGGCTTCCCATCACAGAGGATACTGTTCAAGATCTTGGTCCTCACTTTCAAAGCCCTCCACTTTCAAAGCTCCCCCCTATCTCTGCGACCTCCCAATTCTCTACCAACCTGCCTGCTCCCTCCACTCAGTGGGCTCCAGCCTGCTTCACGTCCTCCGCCTCGCCTGCTCCACCATTGGTGGGCGGGCTTTCAGCCACCCTGCCCCCACCCTCTAGAAGTCCCCTTTCGCAGTCCCTCCGCCTCGCCCTCTCCCTTGCCTCCTTCAAGACCAGTCTCAAGACCCTTCGACCATGCCTTTGGTCACCCTCCTCTCTTCCCCCCCCACCCCCGATCCTGACCTCCCCAGCATGGGTCCGAAACACTGATTGTCCAGTGACTTGGGACAACCTCCTGACGTGAAAGGCACTGTACGATTGGCTCCCAATCACCGAATGAATCGACTTCAAGATCCTCTCGCTCGTTTTCAAATCACTTCATTCCCTCACACCTCTCTACTTCTCCGACCTGCCTACCCCCCACTCCACCACCCGCTGTTTCCGCTTGACTGGCTCCCCCACTCACGCCCCTCTCCTCCCTCAGATTATAAAGGGAGTACAAGTGTTCTCTATGTGCTGTTGTAGGATTCCAGACAGAAGCGGACAGACCGATCGGTGCTGTGCTACATACGAAAAGGAGAATCTGGGCAGTCGTGGCCACGTCTAACCAAAGAAAAGACAAAGGTGAAGACAGACCTGGTTGTGTCAATTTTGTGTTTTCCCTTAAACCTCTTTTGTTGGTTTTCTGGTGTTGAGTCACTGACCTGACCTGTTTTTGTGCAGTTAAATTGGCTGAGCGTGGACTTCAATAACTGGAAAGACTGGGAAGATGAAGGTGATGACGACATGCCCAGCTTTGACAGGTTTTCAGAGGTTAGCACTTGTCTACTGAACTGTTAGATTGTTTACCTCTTTGACCACACTTTTGGTCATTTTCCCCCTTGGCTTCCACCCCCACTCAACCGTATCAAGCACTTTGAGACGTACATTCAAAACAAATCTGCGGAAATGCTACTTCGGTGAGCGAGTAGTAAACGTATGGAACAGGCTCCCTAGGGAGACAGACGGTGGAAGTAGAAAGTGTTGATTCTTTCAAGAACAAATGAGGTAGATTTCTGTCAGGAAATAATATCTGGGGATTCAATATATAGTTTGGGGACATGATATGAGCATGCGACTGCCAGGATAGCAGAAGGCAAACTCAATGGACCTTGGTCTTCTGTCACCCACAAATGCTTATTTTCTTACTTCCGCCTGATGTGAAAGGCATTGTACAAAAGTAATATTTCATAGAACCATAGAATCGTACAGCACAAAAAGAAGCCATTCGGCCCATTGAGTCTGTGCCGGCTCTTTGAAAATTAATTGAAAATTTTATTTTATTAGTTTGAGTTATGAAGGTTTCTAAAATGATTTTTTGAAAAAAAAGTATACGTGAACATCATTGAAATAGAATCTTCCCCAGTGTTTCCCATTTTCCATGTGGTTCTTTACAGATGATGAACAATATGGGGGGAGAAGATGATGGAGATATTCCAGAAGTAGATGGAATGGATGATGTAAGTATGAAGTTTGCTGGTTTAATTAAAACTCTTTTTGTGTTGGCGGCAGTAATTCATAATAATCTTAAAGTGGAATGAGACTATTCAAGTTTCCAATCATTGATATCCAATCTAATGACCTTTCAGACATCTCACATGAATGAACATTTAACAGGATGTTGTGTGTAAGTGCTCAGAGTGTGCATTTTGACTCTGCCCTGTAAACTCACCACTTGTATGGGAATCCAGTTGGTGAGAAAGAGGTGGGAGTGGAGATGGCCATAGGTACTCCAGTGCAATATGGAGAACAATTTTCATGAACTCCCATTAGAGCCACTGCCTAGTGTGAAACCTCCTGGTCTGTTCCCTGGTCTATGCTGGGTGATCAGTGAGCTTGCAGTTTGGGGTGTGAGGATGGAGGGCAGGCAGGCGAGAGCAAGTTTGCCCTGGTCTGTTTTCTGGTATATTGTGCAGATTGGTTTCAGAAGGCAAGCAGGAACTCAGAGGCTTGATCTGTGAATTGTTCATTATATTTGTAATCATTCAGTAATTATATTTGTTAAAATAATACTTTCACTGTGCTCCGCAGGAGGATTCGGATAGTGATGACGAGAGTAAGTACAATCTTATACAATCATCTTTTAAAGGCAAGTAAGTGACTGTTTGTCTACCCAATACTTAACTTTTTGTTTCTTTTTTTCCAGAAATGCCAGATCTAGAATAAAGGAATTCGGGGGGGAAAGCTTCAGGGATTTGGAAGCAAAAAAAACATTCATTAAACTGTTGATTTCAAACAAAACAATTATAAGTTGATAGCTGTTAAGGGCAGTGATGCATCTTTTAAGCCATTTTCAACCTGTTTAAAGGCTTTTTCTAGGGGTCGATGCATACCAGGGTATTGGAAACAATTGCTTGCCAGTACAGTACTATACAAAGATATGCCATTGTGTGCAAAGACTTCAAAAAGCATTGAGTTTTAAAAGTTATTTATTCAGTGACTGGGATTGTACTGGTTAGTACTAAAACCTCAGTATTGGGAGTTTCTATACAACCTGGGGAAGTACTGAATTCCTTCAACATCACACACCCTAATCCTGCAACAGTTAGAACTTTGAGGTTTCGTTAACTTTACAAATTGGCCAGATCCCTAATAATTGATTTAAAATTGTTAACGGTATCAGTTGACCCTTAGGCTTCTACATCTGTTAGTAAGATGAGTGATTAAAGGCTGTACATTGTCGCTTGTGGATCTTAAAGTGGCTGTACATTTAGATAACCAAAAGTGTATTTGCACTGTCTTGAGTATGAATGCAAGTTCAGAGGGGAAAATGTCAATACACTCTCTTTAGGATGTATTTTGTGAAATCTGCTCAGTACAAGCTGAAAACCTCAATTTATGTCAAATGCAATGGAATTTTTTTTAAGCCTACAATATTTCTAATAAAGTTAACACTTACACAGATAACACATTTGATGTATTTTTTTTAATGGGTTAGGATTTCTGTTCTGAACGGTCATAAGATCACAGTAGAATTTTGGAGGAAAAGCCCTTTAGCCTCCGCACGGTTTATTTTACTTAGGTGCATAGGAGCAGGAGTGGGCCATTCAGCCCCTCAAGCTTGTTCCGCCATTCTGTAGGATCATGGCTGAACTGTAGGTCAACTCCAATTGGCTCCCGCGTTTCGCCCACAAAATCCCTTGACTCCACATGGAGTCCTGTAGCTCAGCGCCTTGCAAGCGAGAGACCTGAGTTCAATTCCAAGCAGGGCGAAACCTTGGGCAAGTTTCCTTACTCCACACGCCTAAAAATAATATCATATGCAAGGATTATTATTATACAGTCAAGTAATTGCACTATATTCTTTGAAGCGCTTTAGACGTCTCAAAGACATTATCAGGTACTATATCAAATGCAAGGATTATAATAATTACTTGCCTTTGCCCATATCTCTTGATACCCTGACCTAACAAGTATCTATCCACTTCAGTCTTGAAAATTTGAATGGATTCAGCATCCACAGCCTTTTGGGGGAGAGAGTTCCAGATTTTGACTACCCTTTGCATGAAAATAGTTCCAGATTTCCACTTGCTTATAAACCTTCACTCTAACCTAATTATGCATCCAGTTCTTTGATTCTAAAACATCTAACTGCTTCAACTGGGAGTTAAACATTGCCAATTCTCTTCTTTCCCCTTGAATGAATTTATCTGCAGCTATGGTTGCTGGTGACCTCTGCTATTTTGCCCATATGGAGTTGGTTATTCCTCATGTCTAATATTTGGCTTTTCTTGGTGGTCATTTTATCTGTGCTCAACTGCATCTGACCATTTCTGTTAGTCCACGTCTCTGTGACTTTTTATACCATGCACCCAATTTAGTATTCTCCACAAATGTGGACATGTTCCTCTTTATGTCTGTCAAGATTATTGAGGTAAAACCAATCCCAGTGCTATTGCTTTGGGCCTACTAGCCACACGCCAGCCCATCTGATCTCCACTCTGTCCATCAGCCAGCCTTCTGACAGCCCCCTTCAGCTGGTAGCATTCACCCGAGTCTGGGTTGAAGCCCTATTGCTCACTCAATCCACGACTGTTTGTGGGGACGCTGCTGTGCGCAATTGGCTGCTGGGTTACGCCCACAAAATACGCAGTCACTACACTTTACAGTACATCCTGTGAAGCGCTTTGAGACGTCTCATTGATAATAATAATAATAATCCTTGCATTTGATATAGCGCTTTTCACGTCGGGAGGACGTCCGAAAGCGCTTAACAGAACATACTGCAAAGTGAATTGACTGTATATTTGTGGGCGAACGCGGCAGCCAATGGCGCACAGCAATGTCCCACAAACAGTCGTAGATTGAAAATGACCAATTTATTATTGTTTTTGGTTTTTGAAGGGATTATTATTATGATGTCCTAATGTGACTGATTTTGTGGTTGTTTTGCGGACAATAGCCCCAGAATCTGCTCACATTAATATGGTTTAAGTTTGGGTATTAATGGTGACTCTGTGCTGTCAGGAAGACCCTATTTCTGGCCTTGACTCCCATTTGCCCCTCTGCTGTGAACCAATCAGCGCTCAGAGCTGATACCACTCGCCTCCCTTTTGACATGCGCAGAACGCTCTGGGACGGTCAGCACCGTCACCACCCGGAGGGGAGGGGCGGGGCCTGCTTTGCGGCGGGATTGACAGCTCGTTTGACCAACAGACGAAGAGCGGGACGAGGAGAGGGTGGTATCGACAGATGGAAGACCCAATCAGAGCGGCGGGTTATGCGGTGACCTGTCCAATGGTAGGCGGGAGGGGGCGGGGCTGGTGCTGAGCGGGAAGAGGACACCAACGGGCGCCATGTTGCAGGTTGTCAGGCGACGCGAGTCTCGGTGATTGAGGCTTCAGTCAGTCTCGCTCAAAAAATACCCCAAACCCGCTTATAGAGGAAGGCTGAGCCGGGCTCTTACTGAAGTAGGTACTTTATAACCATTAATAGCAACAGCAATTTTTAAAAAAAAATAATTAGCCCACCAAACGCACAGTCACTACACTCTACAGTGTGTTCCTGCGAAGCGCGTTGAGACGTCTCGACGACGTGATCAGGCGCCGTATCAAACGGAAGCATTGTAATTATCTGTCTAATACTCTCTTTAAATGCCCCCAATTGTGCCTGCTTCATCTGTCACCCCTGGCAACCTGTTACCCCCTCCCCCTCCCCCTCCCCCCCAGACAGACAAACACAAACAAGATCCCTTTATATAACTGGGTGTCCGGCATTGAACATAGTGTTCCTACAGTGCAAACACACTCCTGTCTACCTTGTTCATTGGGGGGGGGGGGGGGGGGGAGTCTTAACATCACAGGCCTCCCCCACCCCACAAAATGTGGAATTTATAAATAATTTACAGTTTGAGCGTTTTACCTATTTGTTTTTTTGAAGCTTTGAAAGTGACGAATTTTTAATTATACATCAGTGAAAACAAACAAAAAAAAAGCTGTCCCTTGGTGCCAATACCGTATTGGAAACAACGACAACTTTCACTTCTATCGCGACCTCCACACAGGATAGCGTCTCAGAGCACTTAACAGTGGCGGAGCCTGACTCAGAGGAAACAAGGAATTTTCGGCAAATGATCCACATTTATCCGTACCCAACAATTCCCGCTCACACACAGCTCTCAAACACACATTGTATATAACACAAACCCTCACACAGTTCAAACTCACACTATATAACACAGCGTTCTAGACTTGCACTGTATATAAATGCAGCCGCACACAGCCCTCAGACTCACACACTATATAACACACACCCCACACTGCTCTCACACTCACACTGTACATCGTATCAACAAGATTATTTGTATAGCGCCTTTCACGTTGGGAGGATGTCCCAAGACGTGGACAGTGTACAGCATTTCATATCACACACTATAACACATACCCCACACCTCTCTTAACACTCACACTGTATAACACACACCCCACACTGCTGACACACACTATACATCATATCACACACTATATCCCCCAGAGGATTGATTTCAAGATCCTCATCCTCACCTACAAGGCCATTCACGGCCTTGCTCCCTCCTACCTCTCCAACCTACTATCTCCCTACAGCTCTCAGACTTATAAGATCAGGGTCACTAAATAGCTTTTCTCCACTGGGTGAGATGTAGATGCATTTATTGGAAAATATATAATTTGGATAAGTTTCTGGAAAAAGTACTGAGAAAATACCAGATTCAATTGTTGCTTGAAGTGTCTAGGGCTTCGCATTGGTGAACTGCGTGATTGGCTTCTTTTATGCTTCTTATCAAGGTTTGCTTAGGAACAGGAGGAGGCCATTCAGTTAATCGGACCTGTTCTTCCAGATTTTCGACAATGACTGACGTTAATACCGTTATTTCCAATCTATCCTCCTTTAAACATCCTAATCGATTCTGTGTATACCTTTGAGGTAGATTGCTATTATTATTATTATTATTGCGTTTCACACTTTCACAGGCTTTTCTTCCATGCACAAAGGGCGAAATGTTGGGCAAGTTTCCTTACTCCCTACAACCCTGTTTACCTAGCAATAAATAGGAACCCAGTTGTTAGTCGATTGGTGGATTGCTTCTCTGGGGGTAGTAATTTCTTCAAAAAAAATAATACATTGGTCACTCAATCTATGACAGTGTGGGACATTGCTGTATGCAATGGTTGCCATGTTTCGCCGCCAAAATATATATTATTAAAGGACAGTAAAGCGTTTTGAGACATCTCGAAGACATGATAAGGCGCTATATCAAATACAAGGATTATTATTATAATAGAAGAGAAACTATTTCCTCCAGTGAGCGAATCCAGAACAAGGGGCATCATCTTAAAAGTAGAGCTAGGCCATTTTGGAGTGAAATCAGGAAGCAATTTTTCCATCCAAAGGGCAGTTGAAATCTGGATCTCCCCCAAAACAACAACCAATTACATTTTTATAGTGCCTTTCACGCCAGGAGGACGTCACAAAAGGCTGTGGATACTGGATCCATTCAAAGACTGTGGTGAATAGGTTTGTTAGGTCAGGGTATCAAGCGATATGGGGCAAAGGCAGGTATTTAGAGTTAAGGTATAGATCAGCCATGATCTAATAGAATGGCGGAACAACACCCAAATTACATTTATATAGCGCCTTTCACATCGGGCGGACGTCCTAAGGCGCTGGACAGTCAGAGTTCCGGACTCAAGCTGGAATAGGCTCAGGAGCTGAAGGACCTATGTTTGCTCTAAATCTAGGCTGACATTGTCGTGAGTAGTGCCATCCTCTAAGGTGAGAGGACACCTCAAGTGGACATTAAAGATTAAAGATTATCGTGGACTATCAGAAGAGAAGGGAGTGGTATCTAAGCCAACAATCTGACAATAAATCAACATTCATCTCGCAGCTCTTTGTGGGACTTTGCTGGTATAATAATTATTTCATTGGCTTTAAAAATAACAGTCACTACACTTAACAGTAATTACTATTGAAGTACTTTGGACATTTTGCCGTGATATATAGCATTATAAAAATACAAGTTCCTTCTCTTGGTGCAGAAGCTCCCCAAAGAGCTGTTGGGGAAACACTGTCTTCCGCAGTATGTAGTGTGAGATTTCAAATACAAATGGAATGACTATCTGCTTGGCACATTAACTCCGTACTGTGCTACATACAGGTGTCAGCCTGGCTCAGTTGGTTGTACTCTCGTCCCTGAGTCAGAAGGTTGAAGGAGTAAGGAATTGCTGTCTGTGCCTGTCACCTGTTGGAGGAGGAACCCTTGCATTATTTTAATTGCATTGGAACATTGCAAACTCTCGACTGTCCATTACTCTGGGATGTCTTTCCGATGTGAAAGGAGCTATTTAAATGCAATTTGTTGTTGTAATACAATGCATGACATAGTTGTTAACTACTGTCATTTAGGTATTAAAATAAGACACACAAGA